AGACTATTTTTCAAAGAAAATATTACAAAAGATGTTAAGATGTCTTCTATCTGAGGTGCAGGTAAAGCGGTAATAAGAGGATTTTTCATCAATTAAGAGGCTTATCAGAAAAGAATCAGGAAGGAAAAAAGCCAAAAACTACAAAAACTATTAGCTCAAAAAGAGAGAGAAACACCAGGACATAAGAATATAGTAGAAGGGATAGAACTATAAAAAAAGAGTTAATTAGGAAGGACACAGAGGAGATAGGAAAAAGATTAAAGACACTGAAACAAAAAATTTTTGAACAAGTCAATAAGGTGGGTAGATGGTTGGCTGAAAGACTAAGGAAAGAAAAGGAGAGGAAAGCTATAACTAAAATTAAAGATGAAGAAAAAATAATAACACAACAAAATGAGATAAAGGGAGCATTCCATAAATTCTACCAAATACTGTATCACAACCAACCTGTAGAGATAAGAAAAATAAGGCAATATTTAAACAAGCAAGAATTTGAAACCCCAAATGAAGTTCAACTTAATAAGTTAAATGAAGATATTTCTATTACTGCGGTGAGAGATGCAATAAAAAAAATGCAAAGAAGGTAAGGCACCGGGCCCCGATGGATTTACTTCACTTTACTACAAAACTTTTATGGATGAATTGTGTGTTCCTTTACAACAGACTATGAATTCTATTCTTCAGGAAAGACTACTTCCATCATGGACAGAAGCTGACATAGTACTCATTCCAAAAGAAGGGAAAGAAGCAATGGACCCAAAAAATTATAGACCAATTTCGCTTTTAAATATTAATTATAAAATCTTCACAAACATATTAGCTAACAGATTTTAAAATTCCCTAAAGGGCTGGATAGATGAAGATCAAAGAGGCTTTTTGCTGCAATGCCAAATGAGAGAAAATTTAAGAGTGGTGCTGGATGAGTTAGAAAATCATGAAAGACATAATAAAAAAAATAGGACTAATATTTGTAGATTTAGAAAAAGCTTTCGATACAGTTAATTGGTCATTGTTATTTGAAATATTAGAAAAAATGGAATTAGTTTATAAATTTATTAAATGGATAAAAGAAATATGCAAAGAACAAAAAGCAAAGATTATTATAAATGGGGAACGTACAGAAACCATAGTGATCAGAAAAGGTACTAGACAAGGTTTTCCACTTTCTCTCCTTTTATTTTTGGTCATAATAGAAAAATTAATCAAAGAAATTAAAATGCAAGACCAAATTTGTGGAACCAGAATTAAGAAGAACAGTTATAAATTGAGAGCCTACACTGACGATTTGGTTATTTTCTTAGATAATCCATGGGAATGTGCAGACAAATTGATGGAAGTCTTTCAAGAATTTGGTGAGATATCTGGTTGCAAATTAAATAAAGGAAAATCAGAAATTCTATGCTGGAAATGCGAGGAAACACCTGGTACTTTGTACCATTGTTGGAGAACATGCACATTTATAAAAAGTTACTGCACATGGCGTTATATGTACTATTCTTCAGACAAAAATTCAGATTCACCCAGAATTTTATTTACTAAACATGTTGGAGGAAAAATTGGAAAAAAGTTTTGGTAAAATCCTCTTTTACTTGATCACCACAGTGAGAATGACATTGACACAAAAATGTAAATTAAAAAAAGTACCGAGTATAAAAGAATGGTTAATAAAATTATATGATGTGATTGAAATGGATGAATTGACACAAATTATGAGATTAGAACCAAGGAAGAAAGAAAAAGAAGAATGGAAACCAATATTAGGATACTAGCACTGTGTATGGGGGAAAATAGTGGTAATTAGCTTTTAGTATTTATTAAAGAAATTTAAAAGAGGAAGTAAAGCAAAAAGTTAACAGATAAACACTATGGAAAGGGAAATGGAGATGGAAACAGATGAGGACATTTGATAGAAATGAGTGTGAATTAGAAAACTAATATAAATATCAAGATAAATATAAATACTAATACAAATGGAACAAGGATATATGTAAGTTTTGAGATTTAAAAATTAAGATAGAGTCAAAGTGAGGAAGCTTCTCTATAGCTGGCAGTTGACAAGAAGGCCAAAAATACATGATGTAGTCAACCAGTATTAGTA